TGGACTGAAACGTCCCAGGTTTGATTCCAGTCAAGGGCATGTACCTTGGTTGCAGGCACATCTCCAGTGGGAGATGTGCAGGAGGCGGCTGATCGATGTTTCTCTTTCATCGATGTTTCTAACTCTCTATCCCTCTCCCTTCCTCTCTGTAAAAAATCAATAAAACATATTTAAAAAAAAAATGAAGGCTTTTTCCTAATACTTCTTTAATCTTGGGTGTGCTCTTTACTCTTTGGCTAGTTTATAAAGAGATCTAGCCTCTCCAAGCATGATCAGGTGGAAAACATTGATTGGGTCTGAAATATTTTTGCCCTTGGGGGAACATTATGGTGTACAAATTAACTTAGCAGTTTTTGCCAAATTTACTTTGCTGCCCATATTTTCCTAGGAAACACTCTGGACTCTCTAGTCCTCATGTGATGTTCTGGATGCTTTGAGACACAGAGATCACTCCAAAGAAGGGGTTGCTGTCACAACCTCAAGTACGTCTTCTAGCAACATGAATTTATTTCTACTTTTCAAGGGATACCAAGACATTTGAAGGGAATCACTTGCACAGGTCTTGCAGGGGGCCATGTGCCCTAATGCCTACAATTTCAAGGATGTTGACCACTGGTTTGAGGACCAGTGCATGTAGGGGAAATCCTTTCCTGCCAGAAACACAGACCTAATTGTTGTTGGACAAGAGTGTAGCCCATTAGATGGTATGGTCCTCATCTAAACGTGCATCCAGGCTTTAAAAAAAAAAACCAAACTACAAGAGCTGTGTGTACACATATCTGAGCGACTCCAGGCATGTTTATCTTCTGTGGAGCAGTCATGGTCATTGAATATAATCAGTAGCTTTTGTGGCTTCCTGTAGCTTCTCAGATGTTCCCATCAGACCCATTGGTGCACTGGCAGCAAAACAAGATGAAGACAAAGACTGTCTTTCGTCCAGGGATGTGACTTTTGTGACCCAGTTAGCATTCCAGTGGGTTTGGGTGAAAGTTCTTCATTGTTTGTTACATTTTATGTCACTAACATGAGACTCTCGCCCAGAGGGCATAAGTATGGGGATTAAATATAGACTTGCCAAACCTGTTGTTCCAAAATAGGTGAACATACATTTGTTTTATCTAGAACCATTTTTGAAAAGCTATAATGAGTAAATTACATGTGTTAAGTATAGAGTTTCATACATCTTGACATGTGCATGAAATTGTAACCATCATCATAATACTGACCATATCTGTCACTGTGTAATTGCTTTCTGACCTCTTTTAATGGGTCCCAGTTCTTCACAGCTTTCCTAGTAACCATGGATTTACATTCCATTTTAATAGAGAACTTTGCTTTTTAAACTAAGTATTTTTCTGCTTTAAGTTATGTTTCATAGCTACTTGGAGGTTTATTAAAGATATATTAGTAACTCATCTTTTTTCTGGTAAGTATTCTTATCTTTGAATATATCACCATCAGCTTGTCCATTTTAATACATATTTGGTTATTTCTACTAAAGCTGGTACAACCATTTAGGTACAATTCTTTATATGGATATAAGTGTTATTTACCTTTGTCAAAAACTCAGTGCATAATCTGAGTTTTTGGGTAGATGAATGTTTAAATTTACCGAGATTAGCAAATTGTAATCTAAATGGAATATACCACCGGGGCCTGTGTGGCTCAGGCATCATCTGGGGCAGCACAGGGTTGTGGATTTGATTGCCAGTGGGGATAAGTGCCTGTGTTGTGGGCTAGATCCACAGAAGTGGGTGTGCAGGGGGCAGCTGACTGATATGGCAGTCTTCCATCAATATTTCTGTCCCTCTCCCTTCTCTCTCTAAAAATTAGTAAACTCTTCTGTAAAAATAAAACTTGCCCTGGCCGGTTTGGATCAGTGGATAAAGCATCAGCCTGCAGACTAAAGGCTCTCAGGTAAGAGTCCAGCCAAGGGCACATGCCTGGGTTGCGGGCTCGATCCCCAGTTGGTGGCGAACAGGTCGCAGCCGATCAATGATTCTCCCTCATCATTGATGTTTTCATCTCTCCCTCTCCCTTCCTCTCTGAAATCAATAAAGACACACACTAAAAAAATAACATCAGTTTCTATGAGCATGTCTTCTAAGAACAGAGTGAGTCAACCAATAGCCAAGCTCTAGGATATGCTAATAAGTAATAAAGATTGTTTAAAAGTCAATAAATAAAATAAACCTTAACTGATTGTACTTTGCATTTTTCCTTTAGCTGCCTCCTGCACACCTCCTACTGGGGATGTGCCCGCAACCAAGGTACATGCCCTTGACCGGAATCGAACCTGGGACCATTCAGTCCCCAGGCTGACGCTCTATCCACTGAGCCAAACCGGTTAGGGCTGTGTCGCTGTTTTTGCTAAAACATCTAATCATATCTTCGGCCTAATGTGCTATGAGTGTGGGCAATTTTCTTTAAGAAAAAGATATTGAAGCAGCAAACATGAATGTTGGAATTTCACTCATTTTGTGTCAGTTTTGCTTTAGGAAATAAATGTGTTTTTCATATTAAAATAGTATGCTTTAATATTTTTATTTTTAACAAATATGGTAGATGTGTAACCACTGAGCCACACTAGCCAGGGTATGCATTTTCTCTTTGTCACAACAACCTGGGAAGTCGAAACTAATATCAAATTGCTGGGAAGGTCCACGATTACAGAAATGAAGTAGGTTCTCCAAGTCTACTCATCAAACAAGTGTCAGATAGAAGAGGCTGGGTTGCAATTCAATATTCTGGCTCCAGAGCCACAGACAATGTCTACCAGGGCTGGTCAAGCCCGTCGGGGAGGCTCACCCGAAGCTGCTGTTTGCATTGTTGAAATTTTGAATCTTCCCCTATTTTCTTAAAGTACCAGAGCACTTATGCCGTGCCCCTCCAACCCCAGAGATTTTCCTCCTTATCTCCACCCCCCCTAGTTTATCACCAGTGAATGTCATGAACCCCCTTATGTATTCTCCTTTGAGTTTAATGTATAAAAAAGGTGCAAAACTACCGTTCTCCCGAGAATGACTCAACCTGTTGTTATTCTGTTTCTGGCAATTGGGACCAGCTTGGGCCAAAGAAACTTAGAAGAATTCTCCACATGTTTGGACATTTCTTACAACAACACCAAAAGCAATCGACTCATGTGAAGCAGGAGAACATTTACATGGAGGGTTATCAGCATTTTCAGGGACGCAACTGACTGAAGGTAAATTTATAAACACAAATTTAGAGCAGACCCAGAACCCAGCAAGCTAGAGCTTTCTCGTTGCTTCCACAGAAGAAAATGTTCAAGGCTCAGGTGACTTTGGTGTGTTTGCGTATTTCTTTAATCCTCACCCGGAGATGTTTAATCTCTTGTTTTCTTTTTCTTCTTTACCCTCTCTCACTTCTATCAGAGATTCTGCACTCTGTTCCAAGCTTCCATGTCTCTGGATCCACTCCATTCATTAGTTAATTTTGTTAATTAGGTTCTATATAAGAGTGAGATCAAGTGATACTTGTCTTTCTCTGACTGACTTATTTCACTTAGAACGATGCTCTCCAGGCCCCTCCATGCTGCCTGAAAGGGTAAGAGATTCTTCTTTTTACCACTGCATAGTATTCTATGGTATAAATGTACCACAGCTTTTTTACCCACTCATCTACGGATGGGCACTTGGGCTGTTTTTAAATCTTAACTATTGTGAATTATGCTGCTGTGAACATAGCAGTGCATACATTCTTTCTGATTGTTGTTTCAGGTTTCTTAGGATATATTCCTAGAAGTGTGATCACAGGGTCAAACGGCAGTTCTATATTTAATTTTTTCAAGGAAACTCCCTATGTTTTCCATAATATCTGCACCAGTCTGCATTCCTACCAGCAGTGTACTAGGGCTCCCTTTTTTCCATATCCTCGCCAGCACTTGTCATTTGTTGCTGGTAGCTATTCTGATAGTTGTGAGGTGGTATCTAATTGTTGCATTAATTTGCATCTCTCTGATAATCAGTGACATTGAGCATTTTTCCACTTTTCTCTTGGCCATCTTATCCACACTGCAGCCCAGGCAGAGCTGACACTTCGAATGGCATCAGAAGCAGATGCTCTTAAGTATGAGTGTCTGTTTTGTGACATTAACTATGTATAATGGATTCAATGGAGGCAGGTTAGATCGAGTTAGAGACTTGAGCAACCTCTGCAAGCTACATTTGGCCTGAAGGAGATAGGTGTCAAATGGCCTTAATGAAGACACAATGCCTGTCATTCACAAAGAGTAGATCTTAAAGAAAGATATGCAAAACCAGCAGCTAAAGGAAGCCAGGCAGGTGCCTCAGAAACAAACTTTCCCTGAAAATCACCTCCCCTGAAGGCCCTGGAGGGCCCTCAGTATACTTGGTGTTTTCTTGGGCTATTTGCCCTCAAAACCAGTCCTGGAGTCAGCTGAGAAAATACGGGATCCTGGCCTTGGGGCGTAGGAACTACATTACCCAGAAGGCCGCGCGTGGAATGCCACCAGGCTGAGCCAATGGAAGCTCAGAAAAGGTGTTTCCATTTTTTCTGGTTCTGAAGGCTAGACCAGTAGATTTTGTTTCGCTCCCTTTTGTCTCAGGCAGTCGGGATATTCTGGTCACACAGTTCTGGGGAGAAGACTGGAGAGTGCTTTTCCCCGCCTCACAGCCAATGGTCGGTGCCTGCAGTGGTGCTCACAGCGCACACGTGGGATTGAAGTTGGGAGTCACCGCCGAAACCTACGCCAGGGCCGGGACAGGGACCGCCATTCATGCAGCGGCTTCTCCCGCCCCGCTCGGACTACGGAGTGCAATGGCCCGGCCGGTGCTGAGGAGACGGGCTGAGGTGAGTCGAGTCCCCCAGGCCCTCACCGCCTCCTCACACACACACCACAGCCTGGGGAGGGCGCCTGTCCCGTCCTGCAGCTCAGTCCCGCGTGGAGGACCGTGAGGAAGGTGGAGGGGGGAGAGGAGTGTGGTGGCTTCTGAGGACACAGCAAGTGCAGGGCAGAGAGGACGGGGGTGACTCGCATCTGAAGGTCCCTGAGGATGCGGCTG